TTTGATTTGTATTTCCCTGATGGCTAAGGATGTTGAGCAGTTTCTTAAGTGTTTTTTGGTCACTTGAGATTCTTTTGTTGAGAATTCTTTGTTTGGATCTGTACCCCCTTTTTAATTAGATTATTTGGTATTTTGATGTCTAGTTTCTTGAGTCTATATATTTTGGAGATCAGTCCTCTGTCTGATGTAGAGTTGGTGAAGATCTTTTCCCATTCTGTAGGCTGCTGTTTTGTCTTATTGATTGTGTCCTTTGCCTTACAGAAGCTTCTCAGTTTCAGAAGGTCCCATTTATTTATTGTTGTTCTCAGTGTCTGTGCTACTGGTGTTGTATTTAGGAAGTTGTCTCCTGTGCCCATGCGTTCAAGGCTACTTCCCACTTTCTCTTCTATGAGGCTCAGTGTGGCTGGATTTATGTTGAAATCTTTGATCCATTTGAACTTGAGTTCTTTCCATGTGGATAGATATGGATCTATTTGCATTCTTCTACATGTTGATATCCAGTTATGCCAGGACCATTTGTTGAAGATGCTTTCTTTTTTCCATTGTATAATTTTAGCTTCTTTGTCAAAGTCAGGTGTTTATATGGGTGCAGATTAATATAAGGGTCTTTGATTCGATTCCATTGGTCCACCGTCTATTTTTATGCCAATACCAAGCTGTTTTCATTACTGTAGCTCTATAATAGAGCTTGATTTCAGGGATGGTAATGTCTCTGGAAGTTCATTTATTGTACAAGATTATTTTGGTTATTTTGGGTTTTTTGTTTTTCCATATGAAGTTGAGTATTGTTCTTTTGAGGTCTGTAAAGAATTTTGTTGGGGGGCTGGAGAGGTGGCTCAGTGGTTAAGAGCACTGTCTGCTCTTCCAGAGGTCCTGAGTTCAATTCCCAGCAACCACATGGTGGCTCCAAACCATCTGTGATGAGATCTGGCGCCCTCCTCTGGCATATGGGTATTAATGGAGGCAGAAAGTTGTATACATAACAAATAAATAAATTTTTTTAAAAAAAAGAATTTTGTTGGGATTTTGCTGGGGATTGCATTGAATCTGTAGATTGTTTTTGGTAGTATTGCCACTTTTATTATGTTGATCCTACCTATCCAAGAGCATGGGAGATCTTTCCATTTTCTGATATCTTCCTCAATTTCTTTCTTCAAAGACTTAAAGTTCTTGTCATACAGGTCTTTCACTTCTTTGGTTAGTGTTACCCCAAGATATTTTACAGTATTTGTAAATGGTGATTTCTTTTCCAGCCATTTTATCATTTGTATATAGGAGGGCTATTGATTTTTTTGTGTGTTGATCTTGTATCTGCCACATTACTGAAGGTGTTCATCAGCTGTAGGAGTTCCCTTTAGAATTTTTGGGGTCACTTATGTATACTATCATATTATCTGCAAATAGCGAAAATTTCACTTCTTCCTTTCCAATTTGTATCACTTTGATCTTCTTTTGTTGTCTTATTGCTCTAGCTAGAACTTTGAATACTATGTTGAGTAGATATGGAGAGAATGGACAGCCTTGCTTTGTTCCAGATTTTAGTAGAACCACTTTGAGTTTCTCTTCATTTAATTTGATGTTGGCTGTTGGCTCTCTCTCTCT